GAATGATGTGAAGAGTGTGTTGTGTTAGTTTGCGTTTCTTCATAATCAAAATTTAAGGTTGTCATCAGGCTTTACTTGTGTTTTCCTCGAAGAAAGTCTCACTCTGTTGCCCGAGCGTAGTTGTGCATACTGGCTCACTGCAACCTCTGCCTCCCGGGTTCAAGCAATTCTCCTGCTCAGCCTCCGCTGAGTAGCTAGAATTACAAAGCATGTGACACCACACCTAGCTAATCTTTGTTATTTTTAGTAAATATAGGGTTTCACCAATGTTGGCCAGGCTGGTCTCAAAGTCCTGACCTCAAGTGATCTGCCCTGCCTCGGCCTCCAAAAGTGCTGGATTACAGGCACAAGCCCACTGAGCCTGGCTTGAATTTGGTTACTTTCTTTAGGTCCATTTTCTAATAACAAAAATTGATATTTCAGATGCAAAAAACCTATCTTTCCCATTCAAATCATCTTTTAGAATTAGGTACTGCATACATGGAATGAGAAAAAGAAAGAGGATGAAATAAGGACAGCTAATTCCATCTATGTAGCAGTTTGACGCTTACATATATAAACTCAATCTTAATCCTTACAACAACCTCATTAGAAAGATACTATTAGTACCCCCATTTTAAGAACAAGGAAACAGACACAGGGAGTTGAGGAACTTGACCATGGTCATTAGCAAGTGACTGGTGGCCCGGGGATTTGAGTGTGGTCCTAAAGTCTGTAGTCTTCACCAAATTTCTAAGCCAAAAGTAGTGGATTAGAGTAAAAGAGTTTAACCATTTCCCAAATGGTCATTCTTTAGGGTCGTGGTTCTACACTGGGGGCAATTTGTCCCCAGGAATATCTAATGGCAATGTCTGATGATATTTTCAATTGTCATGACTTGAGTGGGGGAGGAAGGGGAGAGTGCTACTGGCATCTGGTAGGTAGTGGCCACGGATGATGCTAAACATCCTACAATGCACAGGACACTCTCCCACAAAAAATAATCATCTGGACCCAAATGCCATCATAATAAAAGGAGGAAAAAATGGCATTTCCCTATTTAGCCTGACTTTTAAAATCATCAACATCATACTTTAGACATGCCTTATTTTGGGAAAAGGAAATGGTATGCTGCAAAATTTAAAAGAAACACAAGAATAGGAAATTACTATTAGGTAGAAAAAGAAGAAATCATCATTGGGGATGCAAAAGAGGAAAAATCTCCCCAAACTCCAACAACTATGTAGTTAACTAGAAGAAAGGTTACAAATAGGAAACAATAATATTGCTGACTTGAATATCAGCACGTTGCACTAGAGCATGTGACTAAATCTTCCTAAGTCACAAGCCAATTACTATGTGCCAAATTTCTAGTGCAATAAAGGTGTTTTCTTTTTTTTTTTTCCAGATTGTTACAGGTTGATACAGATTTTCTGTATCAATGTTTCATCACTAGTCTATTAAGGATATTATGAAGTTAAATCATTATTCTTTAAAATTCTAGTACCACATTATTCAAGACTTTCTCAGTACCCTTAAAAATGACGTGAGTTTGCTAGTGCCCATCAGATTTGTATTTCATTTTAAAAACAAAAATTGTATCTGATCTTCCATCACAAGGCACCTCACAAGTTTTAAATTTAAAATTCCAGTGTTTAAGAGAAATTCAAGTCTTAATAAAGTCCTATCCCTCAATTTATATAAGTTGGCTTAAGTCCCAGTCTAAGTATTAATTTTTCTTACAGATGCCCAACTATAGATTGAGCATCCCTAATCCAAAAATCCGAAATGGCCCAAATCTGAGATTTTTTTGAGTGCCAGAATACTGCTACAAGTGGAAAATTTCATACAAGTACTTTGTTTCATATACAAAATTATTTAAAATAGTGTATAAAATTATCTTCAGACTATATGAGGTGTATATGGAATATAAATAAATTTCACATTTAGACTTGAGTTTCATCCCCAAAATATCTTGTTGCATATATGCAAATATTTCAAAATCCCAAAAATCCAAAATCTGAAACGTTTTGGATTAAGGATACTCAACCTATATTAAATTTCCACAACTTACATATGAAAAATAGTTCTGAACAACCACACACTTACATAATATTATATGTTGAAGCAAACAGTATTCTCATTAAAAATGTAAAACAAATTTTTCTGATACAATTAGATATCTTTCTAAACTTAACCTCCACCGTTTCTAGCTTTCTTTCAATAATCTCAGTACTTTATCTTGGAGAAAACTCTAACATGTCTTATTAACTCATTTTTTTTCATTCACTAATGTATCTAACAAACATTTAGAGTGCTGACTACTACCAAAGACTATGTTCTTTAACATTTCAATATTAAAAACTTCAATAATTTTCATGCCACTTTTTTTCCACTGAGAGAAACACTAATGAGTTAAAATGTAGGTAGCTTAAATTTGGCTTATTTATCAAAAATAAGTAAGATGCCACACCATTTCATAGCGAGGAAATCTGTTCACCTTGTGCGTGTCCAGCTGGGGAGCAATATCATCTGGTGGTTAAAAGAGGCATTCCTGGTGTGAAGTAGTCCAGATTCAAACTGGCTTATACCATGCCAAATGCTAGATCTCTTACCTTACAAATGTTACTTAACATTTTTAAGTAATTGTTTGCTCTGCGAGAAGGGATAATCATGTCTATACCTCATCAGGCTGTTTTAAGAATTAAATTATCAACATAAAGCACTTAGGAAAGTATATGGCATTTGGTAAGTATTACCTATTGTTATGATGTTGAGACAAAATAATTATATATATCCTTAATACAAATTACCATAGTAGAAGTAAATAATACATAAAGAACAAATAAGGATTTCTAAAACTGGACTTACGTCACTGATTTATCACTAGGATGTGTATGCTCTAAAAATTCCCTAAGACAGGGTTCCGCAACCCCTGGACCATGGAGTGGTATCAGTCCATGGTCTGTTAGGAGCCAAGCTGCATAGGAGGAAGTGAGCAGAGGAAAAGCAAGCATTACCGTCGGAGTTCCGCCTCCTGTCTGATCAGTGGCAGCATTAGATTCTCATAGGAGCGGTAACTCTATTGTGAACGGTGTATGTGAGGGATGTAGGATGTAGGTTGCACACTGCTTATGAGAATCTAATGCCTGATGATTTGAGGTGGAATAGCTTCATCCCGAAAACATTCCCTTCCCCTCCCCCAGATCATGGAAAAATTTTCTTCCACAAAACAGGTCCCTGGTGCCAAAAAGGCTGGGGATTGCTGCCGTAAGACATAAAGATCTAATGTAGTACCATTATTCTTTTAACACAACATCAAGCCCTGAGACCTGCTTTTAAGCCTTTAGAATTAAAAGTACAAAAAAATAGGGGCCCAGCATAATGGCTTTGATACAGAAGGGCAGCAAAAAGGGCTGTCATGCCATTAACAAGGTGGTGACCTGAGAATATACCACCAACATTCATAAGTGCATCCATGAAGTGGGTTTCAAGAAATGTGCTGACTATGCACTAAAATTTCAAAAATTTGCTATGAAAAAGAAGGGGACTCCAGGTGTGTACAATGATATGAAACTCAATCAGGCTGACTAAGCCAAAAGTATAAACAATGTCCCATACCGCATCCATGTGCAGTTGTCCAGAAAAATGTAATGAGGAAGATTCACCAATCAAGCTCTATGTTATTTATATACCTGCCATCACTTTAAAAAATCTACACAGTGTGAATGAGAACTAAGTACTGACTGTCAAAGTATTTTTAAAAGTATTTCATGCCAAACTCCGCAAAATAGGAATTGAAACGAAGAAATATATTCTTCTTTAAATGACCAAACCAAAGCATTTTGTATTTGCTTTATGGGAGCGAGAATTTTTAGAAGAAAAAAACAACTTGCAAACTTCCTTATAAATAATCCAAAATAAAAAGAAAACAAAACTAATAATACTCTTCAATTAACATACTTTATAACACACTTTATGAAGTGCTACTGACTTTGAAATGTTAGATATTTAATATGTCTATGTAAAAAGAGGACTAAAGATTAGTCTAATGAAACATAGTTATTATAAAAAATGGAAATTCAGACAAGAATGAAATAAATTTGTAAAATGAATATAACCAAAATAAACTAGAGCACCCACAGTCCCAAGAGTACCTATCTCACTAAGTGCTTTCTGGATCTGGACCAACACTTACCACGTCATCATCAGCTAACAAAATCCACATCCATATAGAAAAAAGTACCACTGCTTAGCAACACACAGCCATACTGATGGCCAAAAATAGTGTTTACATTTTGATGCTTGAAAGAAACAAATTTTAAGAAAACATTTCCTCACCTATTATCAGATGGCAGAAGAGAGAGCAAAGCCAAAGCTGAAAGTTTCCTTCTTTCAGGCTGGGTAATGTTGTCCATTCGATCGACCCACATTTCAATCATATTTCCCAAAAGCTGGTCCATCTGAAACAAGAGGAGGAGGCATCTCAAAATACCTAAAATATGTTTTACTTGTGGGTAAATACTTTTGAAGGCTAAAGTCTCATAAGTCATGGTTAAAATTCAATTATAGTAAACCACAGAACTGGAATACCTGAACTGGGGGTAAGTCATGAGCTGGAAACTGATAATTTGAGCATAACCAGAAACTGACTCTAATTAATCCTGAGAGTTAAGTAGACTTATTCAAAACACGTAAGTAGCCCATGAGTGATTTTAGTAATATCATTTAATAAATCACTGCCAATCAGGTACAACGAAAAAATAAACGCATTTTTCAAAATTGTCAACTTGTACTTATAGTTTATTCAACTGGATGATTATTGTTGAATGTTCTCTAATTTGCTAGACTAATTTGCTGCTACTCTCAGAGGAGAGGACAAGTTGCAACCTCAAACTGCAGAGTTTCAAAGGAAAACAAATCAATTATTTCCTAAGACATTTGCATGCTACACTAAAAATGATGCTAAAACAAATCAACAAAATACAGAATGTGATGGCTAATTTTATGTATAAACTCTGCTGGGCTAAGGTGCTCAGTAGTTTGGTCAAACACTAGGCTAGATGTTGCTGTGACAGTATTACATAGATGTGATTAACATTTACAATGAGTTGATGCTAAATAAAGGAGAATGCCCTAGATAATGTGAGTGGGCTTCAACCAATTCATTGAAAATCCTAAGAGCAAAAACAGTATGCCCAGGAAAGAAGAAATTTTGCCTCAAGACTGTAACAGAAATCCTGCCTGAGTTTCCAGCCTGCTATATAAAATTCAGACTTACCAGCCCCACAATTATGTACGTCAATTCTTTAATCTAACTGTGGAGACAAAAATGACTCCATCTTGAATGCAAATCCAATATGATGGCTTCTGATTAGCCCTAGTCCTGGGAAGGCCTCCTGATTTCTGCTTTATTTACTGTCCCTAGTGTAAGGACAAAGCAATCTTGACTTTACTACACTCATTATAGGCTATGCTGCACATGGCATTCTTGCATATTCTGGAGCACATACACCAATTCCCTATAAAATATAATAAACCTGAGGGTCTGGAAGTAGCAGTGCGAATATCTACCTATCTTGCTGCCGCCTTCTGCTCTCAGTTCTCCCAGTAAAACATCCTTTGCTGACAAACTGCACTAGTCTACCTTGTTCTCTGCTTTCTAGGGCCCTTCAGCATTTAAGAGCCATTTTGAATACATGGCCCTTTTGCAAACACACACTCTACTGGTTCTGTCTCTATAGGATCTATGAGGTAAAATGCCATCAAGCGTACTGATCACATAGATTGAAACTACATCAGCCAGGCGTGGTGGCTCACGCCTGTAATCCCAGCACTTTGGGGGGATGAGGTGGGCAGATCATGACGTCAAGAGATCGAGATCATCCTGGCCAACATGGTGAAACCCTGTCTCTACTAAAAATACAAAAATTAGCTGGGTGTGGTGGCATGCACCTGTAGTCCCAGCTACTTGGGAGGCTAAGGCAGGAGAATCACTTGAACCTGGAAGGCGGAGGTTGCAGTGAGCCGAGATCGCAACACTGCACTCCATCCAGCCTGGGTGACACAATGAGACTTCATCCACCCCCTGCAAAAAAAAATTAGGCCAATTAATAATCCTAACATGTCCTCTAAGTGTTCAAGTTAAAGGTAGTCACACATCTCTCACTTTAAACCAAAAGCTAGAAATGATTCAGCTTGGTGAGAAAGACATGTCAAAAGCTGAGATAGGCTGAAAGGCCTCTTGATGCAAACAGGCTGTTAATCCAAAGGAAAAGTTCTTGAAGAAAATTAGAAGTGCTACATCAGTGCACATATAAATGATAAAAAAGCAAAACAGCCTTACTGCTGACATGGAGAAAGTTCCATTAGTCTGCATAGAGGATCAAATCAGTCACAACATTCTCATAAGCCAAAGCCTAATCCAAAACAAGGCTCTAATTCTCTTTAATTCTATGAAGGTTGAATGAGGGGAGAAAGCTGCAGAAAAAAAGTGTGAAGACAGCAGAGGATGGTTCATGAGGTTTAATAAAAGAAGCCGGCTGGGTGCAGTGGCTCACGCCTGAAATCCCAGCACTTTGGGAAGCCAAGGCAGGTGGATCACAAGGTCAGGAGTTCAAGACCAGCCTAGTCAAGATGGTAAAACCTCGTCTCTACTAAAAATACAAAAATTAGCCAGGCGTGGTGGTGGGCGCCTGTAATCCCCGCTACTTGAGAGGCTGAGGCAGAGAATTGCTTGAACCCGGGAGGCGGAGGCTGCAGTGAGCCGAGACCGCGTGACTGCACTCCAGCCTGGGTGACAGAGCCAGACTCCGTCTCAACAACAACAACAACAACAACAACAACAACAAAAGCCACCTCCATAAGATAACAGTGGAAGGCGAAGCAACAAGTGTTGATGTGGAAACTGCAGCAAGTTATTCAGATCTTGCTAAGATCTCTGAGGAAAGTGGTTACACTAAACAACAAGTTTTCCATGTAAATGAAACAGCCTTCCACTGGAAGAAGATGCAATCCAGGACTTTCACACCTAGGGAGGAGAAGTCAGGGACTGGGTTCAAAGCATCAACGTGTCCACAGACTGACTTTCTTATTAGGAGATAATGTAGCTGGTGACTTTCAGTTCAAACCAATGTTTATTTACCATTCTAAAAATCTTAAATCCCTTAAGAATTACTCTGTACCTACTCTGCCCGAGCTCTCTAAATGGAACAACAAATCCTAGATGACAGCATATCTGCTTACAGCATGGTTTGCTGCTATTTTAAGCCCACTTTTGAGACCTATGGCTCAAAAAAAAAAGATTTCTTTCAAAATATTACTGTTCACTGACAATGAACCTGGTCACCCAAGAGCTCTGATGGAGATGTACAGGAGATTAATGTTGTTGTTTGTATGCCTGCTGACACAACATCTATTCTGCAACTCACAGATCAGGAAGTCATTTCAAACTTCAGTCTTATTATTTCAGAAATATATTTCATAACGCTATAGCTACCATAGGGAGTGATTTCTCAGATGGATCTACGCAAAGTCAATTGAAAACCTTCTGGAAAGAATTCACCGTTCCAGGTGCTATTAAGAACATTTGTGACCCACGGGAGGAGGTCAAAACATCAACATTAACAGGAGTTTGGAATAACTTGATTCCAACTCTGATGGATGATTTTGAGGAGTTCAAGACTTTGTTGGAGAAATAATTGCAGATATGGGGGAAATAGTGAAAACTACAGTTAGAAGTGAAACCTCAAGATGTGACTAAAGTTTTACAATTTCATGATAAAGCTTGAACAGATTAGGAGTTGTTTTTCTCTCTCTTTTTTTTTTTTTTGAGACAGAGTTTCAGTCTTGTTGCCCAGGCTGAAGTGCAATGGCGGGATCTCAGCTCACTGCAACCTCCGCCTCCCGGATTCAAGCAATTCTCCTGCCTGAGCCTCCCAAGTAGCTAGGATTACAGGCATGTGCTACTATGCCTGGCTAATTTTGTATTTTTAGTAGAGACAGGGTTTCACCATATTGGCCAGGCTGGTCTCAAGCTCCGGACCTCAGGTGATCCACCACCTCGGCCTCCCAAAATGCTGGGATTACAGGTGTGAGCCACCACGCCCAGCCATGACGAATTGTTTCTTATGGATGAGCAAAAAACAAAAACAAAGAGTGGTTTCTTAAGATGGAATCTACTCCTGGTGAAGATGCTGTGAACACTGCTAAAATAACAACGAATGATTTAGAATATTACATAAACTTAATAAAGTAGCAGCAGAATCTGGGAGGATTGACTCCAATTGTGACAGAATTTCTACTGAGGACCAAATAGTCCATCGTCATCATTAAAAAAAATGAAGTTTCAGTGATTCTGTTATCACTACCAAAACAACCTACTGTTCTTTATCCTTTGCTTGCAACTTCCTTCCATCCTCTTTTATTTTTCCTTTTCTTGCTCTCTGAGGACCATTTAGTCTTCAGTAGAATTTTTGTCAAAACTGGAGTCAATCCTCTCATTCGTGAAGGGAAGAGTCAATTGATGCAGCAAACTTCATTTGTCTTATTTTAAGAAACTGTGACAGCAGCCCACACCTACAGCAACCACCACCCTGATCAGCCAGCAGTCATCACTATCAAGGCAAGACCATCTACCAGCAAAAACATTCACTGAAGGCTGAGATCACTAGAATTTTCTAGCAATAAATTATTTTTAATTAAGGTACATACATTGTTACTTTAGACATAATACCATTGCACACTATTAATATACTACAGTATAGTGTAATTATAACTATATGCATTGGAAAACCAAAAAATTTGTATGACTTATGTTATGAAGATACTCACTTTATTGTGGTAGTCTGTAACCAAACTCACAATATCAAGTATGCCTATACAAGTTTTCTAAGATGTCAGAAACAAATCTAGAATGTAATCATACTCTCATACTAATAATTTTCTGGTGTTTTTATTAAATATTTTATCCCTTCAAATATTCTATTAAAACTACATAGTAAATGGTATTGAGAAAATGCTGATAGTATTTAAATGCTTTTTGTTCATTTTGACAGTTAAAAAATCAAACACAACTGTCTATTGTCAATTCATTATGGTCCTTTACTTTTTTCCCTGATTGTTGCAAAAATTCTTTACTTTTGCCAGTGGAATTTTAATAGGAAATAACGGACATTCTGATAAAATATAATTTAGACCCTTCAACTCTTAATAATTCTTAAGCATCTTTGCTCCCAAACTTTATATTACTAGCAATAGTAAGCCACTATATTTTTGTTGAAATAGTAAAAGTTTCTTTATTCCAGGAATAAATACCAATTTTAGTTTGTACTGAATCCTATATTTACAGCAGTTATTGAAGACTTTTAAAATTGTTAAATATACCAGAAGATGTCCTAAACTGCAGATTATTGATAGTTTATTATTGATAAAAATTTCTTCACTGTACTCCTGCAGATTCAAA